TTCAGTGACTTCCCACAGACTAATCAGCCTTTCGGAAAACCCTCGCAGACATGAATGCGTGTAGTGTACAGGAAAGTTAGATATGAATCCTATACTAAGGCCAAGATATGGTGAGAACTGCAGTGATGGTCCTCATCTGTCATTTGTTCAAAAGAAACATCGGTTGTCAAGACAAAAGCTGTTTCTAGAGAACTCATTCGATAATGAAGGTGCCTCCCTCTTTGGGTACATTTGTCCCATCCATGGAATGTGTTGTGGCCCTTTGTGTTTGTTAAGAATGAACAGGCAGGTTTATCACAGCTGAGCAGAGTCTTAAGATCATTTTTCCTTTACAGAGGAATCTATAATCTTCTAGGTCAGCAGCAAAATTGCTCATGAATGGACTGTGTGATGTGGCTCTTGTTTTTCCACAAAAAATATCATAAATGGTGGAAGATGTGCAAAATTCAGTAACTTTCCTAATATTGGCCAGAAGTGCACTGTGGAACTTTTAAAAATCTGTAACCTTTTATTAGTAGACTTTTCCGTTTCTCAGTGAGAGACCACATTTCAACAGATGACTTTTCATTACTTCAAGAACTCCAGAATGAAAGTAGTGCCTCCTGCTGTCTGTCTGATATTATACCATCACTGTGTCCTTTAAACAGGTGTTCCATCTTCAGGGAGTTCTGGATGACGAAGGAACAAAATACTCAACAAAGCTGAAAGAGCTACAAGGGAGATACAAATACTTCATTACTTTACTTCAGTATTTCTGTCACTTAATTCCTGTTACTTTAAATCACTACATTTCAAAAGATCAGTCTGCACTTTTCACTCTGTACATTTTCAAAACAGGTTCATTACTTTACTTAAGTATCTATTTTATCTCTCTATATATGTATTGATGTATTTTATCTTTCCAAATCTTTGCTATGTGCTGTGAGTGTGATGGACCGTGTTTAAGCTCTGTTGTAGCTAACGGCAGGCTAGCGTCTGCATTCTGATCTCCCTTTTCTGACAGTTGTTTGTGGTGGAAGGTACAGGCTGTGTCAACTAATGTGGGAGGAGCATATTTTAGGGTGAATACGGGAGTCCCGTGTAATAGGGGTGTTACGGTGGGCCACGAGCACGGAGGCGGTGAAACTGGTGGAACTCCATGAGGACAGCGCGGTGTGTTTGGGGGAGACTCTGAAACGGAGACTCAGTCTGAGATTAAAGAGCTGTAAGTGCTGCTTTAAGCTGGTTTCAGTCCTTATATGTCGGTGTAACTGACTGATGAGGGTCTTTAAATGTCTGTTAGAGCCTCATTGATGGAAATGCTGCTCATCCTGCAGTGATTTAGAGGAGGAGCTGCTGTGATCGGGTTTGGGGAACTTATGTGTTTCTTCACGCTGTGTTTATTAATGTCTGCCGTCTGAAATATTCAGATAGTTAATGTAAGTATCTTAATTTGTGTGTTTGGGTGTCTCAGATGGTGCTTTGTAAATGGGCTGTGTGTCTGAGGAGCAGCAGATGTGGCTTTTCCCTTTCTGTGTATGATATGGAGGTGTTTTTATAAGAATACACAAAGCTTAAAGTGGGTTTATACACTGGCTGCAGCAGTTGATCATGTGATTACGTAATCATTTTTTTTGTATTTATGTGTAGGATATGAGTTATTATGTCACTGCTTAGTATTATAATGTTTTTAAAATGAGCGTTTATCCTGCAAATGACTCAACCAAACTAGTACTGGTGTTTTTATAATGACATGAATTCTATATATTCACTTTCAAATATTCTTTCTGTAGATTGTAAATTATATGAAATTCTTTGTATTTTAGGACCTTTTATTAATGAAGTGAACTTAAACACAAATAGACTTTACACTAATGTTAGCTCTTTATACTGAGCTGATGTCAGAGAAATTGTGTTATTGGTGGTTTTATTGTCTGTAGCATCAGCCTTTTAAAGACATGAGTACAAAATCTCTGGTAAATGTGACTCAGACAGCTGCTTTATGTTAGCTGGATAACAATTTGTTATCAATGGCTTTTAGCTAGTGTGGCTAAATATAAACAAAGTCTGTTGAATTCATCATCAAAAAGAGTCCAGTATATGTACAAATGTGGAGAATAAATAGTAGTTTATTATAGAACAGTATAAATGATCTGTGAATGTCTGGGTGGGGGGTGCAGGTTAATGCCTGGTAGATTAAGAGCTGGTAGGAGTGTCTATGGTGGGTGTTTGAGGTGGTCTGTTTAGAAGGGGGTGTAGTGTGAGAGCTGTGAATGTCTGGGTGGGGTGTGCAGATTAGGAAGAGTATGAGATTGTGTATAGCGAGAGTGTAAATAGGGTGTGAGGGGGCAGGTAGTCACATTCATGATGAAGTCATTCTTCCTGCAGATCCTTGTAGTTTTATCAGTAAACAGTACCTTAATACCAATACCAATAAATTCAGATTCAGTGGTTTTAGTAAAAAGATGTTGTTTTTTTTTTTTTATTCCAATTGTTTAATAGGGTACGTGCTTTGGTAGCAAACACGCAAAACTGAATAACTCTAAAAACAGTATTAAAATAACTATAGGCCTTAGTTAATTTCTGATGTAGTAGGTTTTTGATTAGTGCTGTAAAATGTAGTAGGGGTGTAAATTGCACAATTCATCATGATACGATCTTACATCGATTCTTTTAATCAACGATAGGATCATTTTTAATACTTGGAAAATTGCCACGATGCGATTCGGTACAGTACTGGTTTGTTTCAGCACGAGTCGATGTGATTCCACACAATCTGTTATATTTCTATGAGCTTACAAATGCAGACAAATCTGATTTGACCATTTTATTATTAAATGTCAAATACAGCAGTCATAAGCAGAAAACAACATAAACTAGAAAACAAATGCAATTAACATTGTGAAATGTGGTCGGCTAAACAAAGAGTTTTACTGTAAATCTGTACAGCACTAAAGCTACTTTGCTTATTACTATTGTTTAGTAGTAGTAAATGATGTGAATCAAGGATACCATTGAAAAAAACACTCAAGTAAGAAAAAAGTGAAATGACCCAAATACTTTCAAAAGAGTGATCAGTATTACGTCTGTCATCTCCTATTTCATTTGGAAGGATATGCGGCCCTATAGTGTAGTAGAAAATGAAAGCCTTCATGAACTTCTGCACATGCTGGAGCCGGAATACAACATTCCCTCTGGACAACACTTCAGTGAAAGCTGCATACCTAAACTGTATCAAGAAGTACAAGATGACATAAAATGCAGGGCGAACCGCAACACAACAGATGGCTGAACGTCGTGTACCATAGAAGCGTACATAACCATTACTTGTCATTTCATTGACTGTGACTGGCAAATTAAGAATTACGTTCTTCAAACATGCGTTTTGAACGCATACAGGAGTAAATATTGGGGCAGTGCTGAGAAAAGCATGTGAAGAGTGGAATTTACAAGACAAAAAACCTGCTCTTGTGACAGACAATTTTCTGCAACATGTCCATAGCCGGACAAGTGGCAAATCTGTCTCCTAGCAACACAGAAAGGCTTGAAATGTGCCAGTGCGGTACAGCTGTTTGGCACAAAGAGGTCTGTTTATCCCATAAAGCTGAAACATGGACTCGTCTGACCACAGCACACATTTACACTGTCTCTCAGACCGTCTGACATGAGCTCAGGCCCAGGGAACTCGGTAGTGTTTCTTCATAGATTTAGTGAATGGCTTTCTCCTTGTGTAACAGTGTTTCAAGTTGCATTTCTTGATCCAGTGGCGTACTCTGTTTAGTGATAACAGTTTACCAAAGTACCCCTGAGCCCATGTGGCTGTATTTAACACAGCAGCATCACAGTTTTTCATGCAGTGCCATCAAAGGGCTCCAAGGTCACACATATTCAACAGTCTGAGACTGAGGTTTCTCTGGATTTTGCAATTTAATGTAGGGTAGATGGTGAAAGACCCAAATTCTTAGCAGTCTTGTAAATGTTCTTTTTGAACTGCTTGAGGGTTCCGTCACAAAGTTTGTCACAAAGTGGTGATCCATGACCCACCTTCACTTGCAACTGCGGAGACTTTTTTGGAAGTTTATACCCAATCATGATACCTTCACCCTTGACTTCAATAAGTGTCCTTGTCTTTCATTTATTAATGCCTTTTCAGTCAGTGGAAGTTTATAAGGAGGAAGTATTGATATATTTTATATTGTTGTTTTGTTTTGTAACAGTTAATTACCTATAGTTTTGAAAGGGTCCATGACTGTGAAGTGTAAACACTCCAAGAGGTTTGAAGGAGCACAATTTATTATGCACTTAATTGTCTATACATAACTTGGAGTAAGGCCTAATAAGACGAATAAGCTCTGAGAAAAAAAAATACACATGTAGCAAAATTCTTATGTTTTATGTTTTTATGTCTTTAACCTTGTAAAGCAGAGGATCCAGTTACATTCAGTAAAAATATATGTAGGATGAAACATATTCAGTTTGGGACCACTTTGTTGACCACAGTATGAAATACAGTCAATTTAGCCAAGTTATTGGTATTATTGGTATTGGTATAGCAACATGACACACTGCTTTTCAACATGACATCAGTGGTTTATATGTGTAGTTAAGAAAATTAAGTAATTAGGTTATTGGCTTTTCCTCATCTGATGGATGTTAATTCTTTCTTTACATTTTCTGCCATTTGATGGAATTCTTGATTTGTATTAGACTAGTTTTGTTTCATTGCTGATTGAGCTTATATTTTCTTTTTTTTTCTTACAGAAATTAAACATGCGCAGTATGAAGTATTCATCTGCACTTTCCTACTCATCTTAAATGCGTTTCTGTAAACACAGCAGGACATTCCACCAAGAGGAAAGTTAAGCTGCTGAAACTGGTGATATATATAATAATATGGCATCCAGAAGACGTTCCAGGACTCAGGGGTCATCATCTGGTACCCTCCACGTGAACACATCTCACAGACAAGCACAGAAACACAGCAAGGAGAAAAATCACTACTGCTTGGAGTGTGGGAAGAGTTTTACTGCTCAGAGTGCTCTCAAAGTACACCAGCGCATCCACACAGGAGAGAAACCGTATCACTGCTCAGAGTGTGGAGAGACTTTTACTGTACACAGTGCTCTCAAAACACACCAGCGTATTCACACAGGAGAGAAACCGTATCACTGCACAGAGTGTGGACAGAGTTTTACTACACCGAGTAATCTCAAAGTACACCAGCGCATCCACACAGGAGAGAAACCGTATCACTGCTCAGAGTGTGGAAAGACTTTTACTGTAAAGAGTGCTCTCAAAACACACCAGCGCATCCACACAGGAGAGAAACCGTATCACTGCTCAGAGTGTGGAAAGACTTTTACTGTAAAGAGTGCTCTCAAAACACACAAGCGCATTCACACAGGAGAGAAGCCATATCAGTGCTCAGAGTGTGGGAAGACTTTTACTGTACCGAGTGCTCTCAAAACACACAAGCGCATTCACACAGGAGAGAAACCCTATTACTGCTCAGAGTGTGGGAAAGAGTTTTACTGCACAGAGTCATCTCCAAACACACCAGCGCATTCACACAGGAGAGAAACCTTATTACTGCTCAGAGTGTGGGAAGAGTTTTACTAAACAAAGTCATCTTCAAACACACCAGCACATTCACACAGGAGAGAAACCTTATTACTGCTCAGAGTGTGGAAAGAGTTTTACTAAACAAAATCATCTCAAAGTACACCAGCGCATTCACACCGGAGAGAAACCGTATCACTGCTCAGAGTGTGGGAAGAGTTTTACTGTACAGAGTCATCTCCAAACACACCAGCGCATCCACACAGGAGAGAAACCTTATTACTGCTCAGAGTGTGGCAAGAGTTTTACTAAACAAAATCATCTCAATGTACACCAGCGCATCCACACCGGAGAGAAACCGTATCACTGCTCAGAGTGTGGACAGAGTTTTAATCAACAGAGTCATTTCAAAACACACAAACGCATTCACACAGGAGAGAAACCATATCAGTGCTCAGAGTGTGGGAAGAGTTTTACTGTACAGAGTGCTCTCAAAACACACAAGCGCGTCCACACAGGAGAGAAACCGTATCATTGCTCAGAGTGTGGACAGAGTTTTAATCAACAGAGTAATCTCAAAATACACCAGCGCATCCACACAGGAGAGAAACCGTATCACTGCTCAGAGTGTGGGAAGAGTTTTAATCAACAGAGTAGTCTCAAAATACACCAGCGCGTACACACAGGAGAGAAACCGTATCACTGCTCAGAGTGTGGGAAAAGTTTCAAACATTTTAACACTGTAAAGACCCACAAGTGCACGAAGGGCAGTTTTGGAAATGGCCAGTAATGTCCAATGACTATAACACATCACAGCATTACCATAGCACATCTCAAGAGTTAAAGTCTGTAGGAAACAGTGGTTTCAGGCCTCATTTCAAGCTGTTTATGCGAAAAAACACCCACTGGGGTTTATACTGTTTTAAAAAAAACATAAAGCATAAAATGCTGAACACCAAGCCAAGCCTAAAGTTTGTACTCCGAATGGGAAGGTGTCATACTGCATATTTTCTCCCAAATGAGTTTCATTTGTATTATATGTGGATAACAACCGAGAAGCCCCACATTCAATTATAAGAGGCTTTTACTTTCTAATTTAGCAGATCTAAGCATGTATAGTATTTCTGATGCAGTGGTGGATGTTTTCACACACATTTGACCATGAGCTTGGCTCTTTATCCTTCTTTCTCAGCCTGCTATTTCTTTCTTTAATCTTTTTCAGCTTTTACGACAAATCTTCCCTTTTGTTTGAATCAAGTCAAGATATGATTGAAACCTCTCAAATCAATATTAACTCCGAACTACTCCTAAACATGAGAACCCTTTATGATGATGAGTTCAAGAATCATACCCATGCTACACTCCAAAGCTGAGAGATGTTCTTTTTTAAAAGACTGTTTCTATCTTGTGTCCACAGTGCCATCCAGTGACTGAATTCAGATCTGAATCTCAGACTTTCAGACGACTTGTGTTTTGGTTAAATATCAATTATTCTGCACGAAGAGTCGGGCGACACGGTGGCGCAGTAGGTAGCGCTGTCGCCTCACAGCAAGAATGGCCTGGGTTCAATTCCCGGCTGGGTGACCAGGGTACTTCCTGTGTGGTACTTCCATATTCTCCCCGTGTCTGCGTGGGTTTCCTCCAGGTACTCTGGTTTCTCCCACGGTCCAAAGACATGCAGTCAGGCCAATTGGATGTGCTAAATTGCCCCTAGGTGTGAGTGTGTGTGTGAATGTGTATGTCTGTCTGCCCTGCGATGGACTGCCGACCTGTCCAGGGTGTATCCTGCCTTCCGCCCAATGACAGCTGGGATAGGCTCCAGCACCCCACTGCGACCCAGAAGGATAAGCGGTTTAGATGATGGATGGATGCACGAAGAGTTCTCTCTGTCATTTGTCATAATTGTTACTCTCAATCAGAAATTGCCATAAGCTTAACGAAGAGCTATTTATAATGTTGAAATGCATGGTTTTATTTCTTTATTTTTCTGTCTTTCCACTTTTTAAGTCTACAGTAATTGTTTTCTGTTAGTCAGGAGGATGATGCAATTCTGTCCCCCAAAACTACTGTATTTGTTTTCTTCCAGCATTAATAGTGTAATCTTAATAATTATTTTCTTTTGAAAGGTATAGTTGTTAATGTAAGTGAAATGTGTTTGCATAAGAAATGATATAGACTGTAATAATATGATTGTCAGATTGTCTATCAGAATGGCTTTCCATGTATTATGTTTATGCTGAGTAGATTCAGGACCAAAGGAAAATAATTATATTCAGTGGATTGATGGGGAATTAAAAGCCATGCCTCCCTTATGAATTTCAAATGGCTTATTCATTAACCTGATATACTAAAACCTATCAAACACCTGTCTCCGCCCCAAAAGGAGTGGCTTGCATACAGTAGCATGTAGGTAACCCCTACATGTAGGCCATGATTCTGCTGCATGAAGTTCTTTTAATTGATACAACAAAAAAGACACTAACATAAGCACAAAATTACTGGGGAGGTCACCACCAGCCATACCCTTCACCCTCACAATAACCAGCCCGCAACACGAAACGCCCACGCAATTACCTCACTTCCCAACACAGGATAACACAAGTAACACATACACATACCTTTTAACTAATAGACAATGGTTTTTTAACAATGTTTTAACAATTAACCCCTATTTTTGGAGGGCCCCTGCCTCCCATGATCCTCTGGACTTCATGAGCTTCAAAGGGCCAGCAAAGGGTCGCTAGAATATTTTAGTAAACTGAATTAGAGTATCCCTCAGATGAATTTCATGTATCTGATTCCTATATGTATATAAGTAAAAATCCATCATTTAATGCATGTTTACCTTGTAATGCATTATTTACTAGTTCATGAATAAATAAACCCTTTATTGAAGCTATCCTTTGTGTATGTGATGTCTAGTTCAGGCTGTGGTAAATCTTTCCAACACTAGATAAGCTTTACCCTGCTTTAGCTTATGAGCAGGGACGTCTCTAGATTTTTAGGGCTAAGCTTTTACAAAAACATCCTCCTTTGTAATGGACTTAAAATTTCTGTTCATCATGAACTTTTAGGGTAGCCTATCAAACAAAGATATTAAAGTCATGCCATGCTATCTACTCTCAGATAAACTGCAGCTTAGGGGTCGGCACTACCGCGAATTCCTGCTGTTCCCCCCGATATAATGAGGGAAGCCCACCTCACCACCCGACAGGTCCCTGCTTATCTGCAGCTGGAGTATGACGAGCTGAAAAAGGCTGTCCTTCAGTTGTTTCAGTGGACTCCCAAACAACACAGACAGTAGTTCTGCTCGCTGATGCTGCAGGAGTTCCATGGGCCCTTTGCGTTTGCACAGCAGCTCTGTGACTTCTGCAGGCGATGGCTTCTGTCTGAGGAATGTGACTCTGAGAAAGTCCTTGACTTTGTGGTATTAGAGCAATTATTTGCTTTCTGCCATATTTCTGCCTACACAGCAGCCCTTCTCTCTCTCTTACCCTTCCTGCACCATGCTTTGGCCTCTAAACCCCTTTCTTGCACTCAAATCCACTGTAACCCTCCTGATTCTCCCCCTCCCATCTCTCTCAAACTCCTCCCAGCTATTCTCAACCTTCTGTATCTACACAGGTGGGACTGGCTGAGCCCACAAGAACTGGGGTGAAGCCTGGGCAGGTGTTGGTACTGCGGGGAGCCCATGCACTTCCAGGACCACAAGGAGGTCGGGACACTGGTCCGGGTTCCCACATCACCACACCACTTGCCCGACTGAATAGAGATGCACCATATACCAGAGTATTCAAGGGGGTGCACCTTGGTTGATTCTGGCTGTAATCAAACCACAGTTCACCAATACTTGATTCAAGACATGACATTAGAGAAAGCTTATTGTGTGAACATTCAGTGAGGGACATTCACTGGGATGTTAATGATTATCCACTTGTGCCATTCACTGTTGATTCCAGGGGTGAAAAGCATTGTGTTAAGATGGTATTAATTGGCCTCCATTTAATGGGTTAGTGAGAGAATTGTTAGAAAAGGGTCCCACAATAAGAAAAGGCATGGGACATTCATGACTTTACAGACAGGCATGCTTCCGGCTTCATCTGGGGCTGCACTGGGCAAGAGCACTCAAGAGACGGCTCTTTGGGAGTTGTGCCCTCGTGACTTCCCTCGGGGATTTCCCGCTGGAACAGTCACGTGACAGGACCCCAGAAAGTGCCATTGCACCTGCCTCCTTTAATTGAGGTTTCCTTTGAAAAAATTGATGTGAACCTCATAGATCCATTAAATAAAAGTGCACAAGGCGCACCGTTTTGTATTGGTTCTAGTGGATTATGCAGCACAAAACCTATGCCACGTTGGGAACCCAAAAGAGATCCTTGCTGATCAGGACACTACTTTCATCTCATGCAGTTTATGTGAAGTATAGGAATTGGGCATTAACTTGTTTCACACCATTGTTTACCACCCTGATGGTTTCCTAATGGCATTCTGTTGGTATTGTGGTGGTGTTCTAATTGATGTACTGGCGGTGTTCCTATGGTGTTCTGATGGTGTTGTGGCGTTCGGATGTTGTTTTAGTGGTGTTCTGTCAGTGTTCTGCTGGTGTTTTAATCGTGTCCTAATGATGTTCTGATGTTGTTCAAATGCAGTTCAGACTGATGTTCTGGCGGTGTTCTAATGGTGTTCAAAAGCTGTTCCCCAGGTGTTCTCATGGTGTTCTGATGATGCCCTGGTAGTGTTCTGATGTTCTAATGGTGTTTAAGTAGTGTGTAAAGGTCTTTTGATTGATGTACTTTTGGTGTTCTGGTGGTGTCCAAGTGGTCTAATAGTCTTCTAAAGGTGTTCTGATGGTGGTTTGGTGTACTGGTGGTGTTCTTATGGTGATCTGATGGATGTATTGGTTATGATCTGATGGTGTTCTAATGATGTTCTGATGGTGTTTTAATGGTATTCTTGTGGAGCTCTGACCATGTTCTAATGGTGTTCTGGTGGTGTGCTTATGATGTTTGTAATGGTGTTCTGATTGATGTTCTAGGGGTGTTCTGATATACTGACGGTGTTCTGGTGGTGTTCGTATTGATGTACTGACAGTATTCTGGGGTGTTCTGATTGATGTTCTAATGGTGTTCTGATGGTGTTCTAAGGGTGTTCTTGTGATTTTCTAACAGTGTTCTTCTGGTGCTCTAATGGTGTTTTGATGGTTTACTAATGGTTTTCTGATGGAGTCCTAATGATATTCTGATGGTGTTCTAATGGTGTTGTGGCTGTATCCTCATGGTGTTCTGGAGGTGTTCTGATTGATGTTCTGATTGTCTTCTGGGATCTGACTGATGTACTAACGGTATTCTGATGGTGTACTAACCGTGTTCTGGAGGTGTTCTGATTAATTTTCTTACATTGTTCTATTGGTTTTCGGGCAACATTCTGATTAATGTTCTCATGTTCTAACAGTTTTGAGGTAGTGTTCTTATGGTGTTCTAATGATGCTCTGATTGTATTCGAATGGTATTCTGTGAGTGTTCTGATCAATGTTCTGATATCATAATGGTTTTGTGGTGGTGTTCTAATAGTGTTCTTATTTTGTTCTGATGGAGATGTAATGATGTTCTAGTGGTGTTCTACTTGATGTTCTAATGGTGTTCAGATTTTGTTTGATTTTGTGATCTAATCATCTTCTGGTGATTTGATTTATGTTTGGATGTTCTCAATGTGTATGAAAGGTGGTCTTATTGATGATCTGATGGTGTTCTAGGCTTGTTCTAATTGATGGCCCAACTGGTTTTATTGTTGTTTTTGTGGAATATAGTCTCAAAAGTGACTACTTACACTCTTTGTTTAACACTACATCACAGGCTCATTTAAAACCAGTAAGTAACAGCCAGTAATGTGTTGACATGGTCAGCAGGAATAGTGGATT